AAAAAAAAAAAAAACCTTGCACAAATTCATAACAAAGAAACTCTGTCCATATACCTAAGACAATCCATTCCAAGAAATTCCCAAAAAACATCGTGTTCAAAGAACTTCACCGTACATATACAACCAGTCACAGCTCAGCCCAACCCGACAATCAACTAAAATACGCAAAAACATGTCCAAACAGAGATCAATATTTCAAATTTATGCAAAGAGTACGTACAGAACATATCATCAAATCACACCTTAAATAATCAATTCCAAGTAACTCCCCAAAAACAACTTGTTCAAAAGAACTTCATCGAACTTATACAAACAACCCAACTCGACAAATGGTAAAAAAATAGAGACCTATCCAAAATGAGACTTATCCGCAGCACATGTTTTACAAGTTTAGTAACCGTGAGATTTATAAAAAAATGTCCGAAACAAATTACATGGATAGAGGACTACACCCGCAAATAAAAAGATAATATTATCCCATCAGATATCAAGCCTGAAAATCATACAACCATTAACCATTAGGCATCGCAGAGTAACAAGACACACACTTATTGATTTGCATATTCATCAAAATTACATGAACACCACAAAAAAAAAAGATAAGTTGGAGAATATTTACAGTTATAATATCCCAGCGTCAGCTGTAAAGTGACGTTATTCAAGACTAGCTTCAGGTCCTCTTCATCATAATCGACCTTGGCCTGCAAAAAGTGGCCGACCAAAAAAAACCCTTCACCATTGAGAAAACTTTGTTTCATGAAAACTCAACGACACATAAAGCCAGCCGTAGCTGTGGGGTATTCGGAGAGATGCATCAAGGAGGTGAATGAGGAGAAAATTTTGACAATTAATCCCCTGATTTGGGCCTTTGAAATGAGATTTTGATATTTTAATTTTTTCCCCTAAAATTCAACTCCTTTAATTTCTAGAGTTGGCCAAAGCCAAATCACAATTCAATATCAGAAAAATATTCAAACTAAAAAATTGATTCTAAACTACAATGAGATTCAAGATTACCTTTGTTGTTCCTGATCCCCGAACTTCAATGTTGAGACTAGTAGCTTGAAGAATAATGAACCAATTGTTAAAAGGAAAAAGAATTATGGCCATAGTGGGTGGAGTGGAAACGATCGTGGTTTGAAGATAAGCCGGAAAGCTTGAGTTTTTTTCTCTCTTTCGGACAGAATCGATCGGTCGTGGGGTTTTCTTCTTTTTTTTTACGAAAAAAAAATCTGATGAGTTTTTGAGTTTGAAGAGGGTGAATGACGACGGGTGACCTGTTGCTTTTATTTACAAAAAGAAAACTTGTCTGCAATTATACCCATGATATAAATATGTTATTTGTTTAAATCAAAGGGTCTAGATCAATCTATAAGATCGAAGGGCTTATATTAAAATGAGGGAACCATCCACTACGGCACCTTAGCCTCGCCCTATATTTTAAAAGATAATACAAATAAAAATATACGTATATTTTATAATACAAATATGCACTTTATTGCAAATGATATACCATGACTTTTCATAATATAAACATACATTCTTGTTACAAAAGTTGTGTCATGACTTTTTATAATACAAACGATGATTTACTCTTAAATTTCATATGTGCATCTCACACGCTCGCTTTTTCGATAGAAATTGGACCGTCGATCGCCGAAAATTGTGATATAGACATTTTTGTAAATTACAAGTTGCAACTTACTATAAAAAATTGTTTAAATTGAAAAATCTCAAATGAATAATACTTGTTGCAAACTATTATTTATGCTATTATTTTGGAAAAATACAATAATAACTTATATCCAAGGACCATCTAAGCATAACAATTTTGTCATTTGTCGCATGACTATGAGTGTGGGGAATTATGTGAACCTCCAAAAATAACTAAAACCCTACCGGACACCGCTTTTAAGAAACGCGAAAAACACGTCATATATAAACCACACTGCACACTAATCTGCCGACCTCAAGCTCGCACTCACCCGATAAACCCTAATTTTTGCACTCTCGCTGGTTCCAGAAAGCTCAAATTCAGGTTATTTCTCAGCCTGATTCGTATTTTCATCCTTCTCTGTTGGCGTTTATGTTTTTGTGCGATGGTGCTCTGATAATTATTCTTTTTGCTGTTTTTTTTTCTTAACTGAAGCTCCGCACAATGTCGGATGAGGAAAGGGAGGAGAGGGAGCTGGATCTCAGCTTTCCTGATGTTGTCACCAAATACAAATCCGCTGCTGAAATTGTTAACAGTTGCGGCTGCTTTTACCTTTTTTTTTTTTAATTTTTGTTTTCTGCAGTTTTCGGGGCTGTGTGTTTGCAATGGCGTGGGTGAAGTTTATGGGGTTATTGAAAGAATGGTTTTTTATGTTCTGAGTTGAAGTTTGGATAAGGTTCTCTTCATTTATCAAATGTTTTGAATGTGTTGTGACCTAAGTTATTTGTTAACTGCAGAGGCACTACAGCTAGTGCTGTCAGAATGCGAGCCAAAGGCCAAGATCGTTGACCTTTGTGAGAAGGGAGATGTTTTTATTAGTGAGTGAGTAGTCGTCGAAAAATCCCTTTCTTATATTTTTGTTGTTTTTTTCCAATGTTTTTGGTGACATTTATATGTATATCTATCAATGGCGTGTCTCATTAGGCAATCAGGTAAATTGTACAAGAATGTCAAGAAGAAGATTGAACGGGGTATTGCGTTCCCAACTTGCATCTCCGTGAACAATACAGTCTGCCATTTTTCGCCATTGGCTAGTGACGAGACTGTGTTGGAAGATGGAGATATTGTGAAAATGTAAGTTTTATATATACGTGCAAAGTTACGAGCAGATTTTACTGACACAGCAGGTACGGTATTGACATGATTGGGTGACGTGGTGTATCTGCAGTGATATGGGGTGTCATATAGATGGATTTATTGCTGTAGTTGGTCACACCCATGTAATTCAGCAAGGACCAGTTACTGGCAGGGCAGCTGATGTTATTGCTGCTGCCAATACAGCCGCTGAGGTTGCTTTAAGGCTTGTTAGGCCAGAGAAGAAGGTAATTTATTTTCTATGATTTTGTTTCGTTTTTTGGTCCGTGGTTTTTGACTTGGAATAAAAGCACTTGGTTCTAATTCTGTTGATGCACACACATTTTTCCCTTACTGTATGTCATATTTGTGTCAGCCGCAAAATGATTAATTGATGTCATTGAATAGGAGTTTTGTTTTTGTCGGTTCTATTGTTTTTATTTGAATGTATAAGGCAGTTGGAGTTGTCTGACTGTAGAGCATGGTTAGGGGCACTCGTTCAATGATGAACACTTTTTGCAAGCTAACGGTGTTGTCCCTGATGATGCTATCGCCATAGTTACTCTGATAGGGTTTTTTTTTTTTTTTTTTTTTTTCCATATAACTTTTCATTGCTATCTCTCTAATTCAATCAAGTTTGGAAGTTGCATTGTTAACTGTGTTAACCATCTTTTGGCGAAACCTTCTATTTTGTTTAATTTAATATATTTTTGTTTCAGCTTTTTCGTATTCCACTTAATTGATCGAAAACAATTGATCCAAAGGAGTGTTACCATATTCATTTTTGGGTGACTGATTCTCTAAATGATGATGATAGTCTTGAGAGATGGATCTTGTATCCTGTGAAGTTCTTCCTAGTCATAGTTACACTGATGGAGAATCATGTTTCCCTTTTGTTTGTCTACTGACTTCAAGTGATTTCTTATTGCAATCTAGTTACTGGAAGCAGTTGTAATGTTCTATGCGAGTTCATTCAAATGTT